CCCTCTCTGTCCCCCTCTCTGCTTGCTAGAGAGGTAAGGCATTATTCCCCTCCCCCACTCCGGGAACGGAGGGACCTCATTTTATGTTCCCAAAATCTCTGGTAAAGGGGTACTTTTCACGCAACAAAGTCTGGCTCGTAATACAAAAAACAATTGGCCCGTATTGACTTAACACACCAGACTTGGGGGGGGGGGGGGTGTTTATAAAGAGAGGGAACGTGCATATATATGCGTACCCTAAATAACACTGAGTGGGGGGGGGGGGTGGGATTATTCCCCTTTCCCGCTCTCTGTCCCTCCCTCTCTGCCTCTTTCTCCCTCTAAATATCAGGCACAAATCATAGACAATATACTTTCCATGGATCAGCCCTGTATTGTACCTGCCCCTTATTTGACAATTTTAAAGTGCCAAAAAGGCTTATGATCAGGCCAAAGGGATATTTTGTCACAGATTCTATTTTTCTCAAACTAAAATCTATGTTTGCGGGCAACTCCTTGCCTGTCTCACTGTCTCCACTTTGCTCTTAACTTTGCCTCCGTCCTGTTGATCTTATAGTTTTCAAGGATATTTAACCCTTGTCTGAAATTCAAAATGTGTGGGGGATTTGGTGACAATGTAAACAATTATGAAAAAATAAAAATACGTCTTACCAAATTGTGTAAAGGGGTTTAGTAAAACAAAGATGGTTATCAGGGCTCCTCACTAACCTTTTTTTGAAGGGGGTCAGAAATGAACTTTTTAGAATCAATATTTATTAGCCTCTGTGGAAACAATTCTCAATTATGGAGTGTTGAAGTACATTTTGGGCACCCAAGTATCAAGCCCTGTCGTCTCACACAATTTTTTTAAAGGCCCACTGCACTACTTATAGCTCCTTGCGCCCTCTATATAACAAACAATGCCTAATCGGTGACCATTGGTCCCCCATGATCCTCTTTTTCTTATGTTAATTGAGAGCTGAGTTGATGAGATAACCACCTGTCAAGTGACCTTGCAGGGCAGACTAATCCCTCCTGTAAACTAGTACAGATAAGCCTTAATATTGGATTCTTGTTTTGTGTTTGACTTTGACAGTGTAAGGCAGCCTTCATGAAAGCTCATCCTGGCTATAGATGGAGTGGTCCTCATCGGCATGGCGGGGGGAAGGTGACCAATCCTGGTAAAATCATGACACGCCCTCATGTCACAGGCACAGAGGAGAGCAAGGCTGGTATCACTATTGGTAAACTAGCAGGTTAGTAACTATTGGTAAACTAGCAGGTTAGTAACTATTGGTAAACTAGCAGGTTTGTAACTATTGGTAAACTAGCAGGTTAGTAACTATTGTTAAACTGGCAGGTTAGTAACTTTTGGTTAAACTAGCAGGTTAGTAGATATTGGTAAACTAGCAGGTTAGTAACTATTGGTAAACTAGCAGGTTAGTAACCATTGGTAAACTGGCAGGTTAGTAACCATTGTTAAACTAGCAGGTTAGTAACTATTGGTAAACTAGCAGGTTAGTAACTATTGGTAGACTAGCATTTTAGTAACTATTGGTAAACTGGCAGGTTAGTAACCATTGTTAAACTAGCAGGTTAGTAACTATTGGAAAACAAGCAGGTTAGTAACTATTGGTAAACAAGCAGGTTAGTAACTATTGGTAAACAAGCAGGTTAGTAACTATTGGTAAACTAGCAGGTTAGTAACCATTGGTAAGCTAGCAGGTTAGTAACTATTGGTAGACTAGCATTTTAGTAACTATTGGTAAACTAGCAGGTTAGTAGCTATTGGTAAACAAGCAGGTTAGTAACTTTTGGTTAAACTAGCAGGTTAGTAGATATAGGTAAACTAGCAGGTTAGTAACTATTGGTAAACTAGCAGGTTAGTAACCATTGGTAAACTGGCAGGTTAGTAAATATTGGTAAACCAGCAAGTTAGTAACTATTGGTAAACTGGCAGGTTAGTAACCATTGGTAAACAGGCAGGTTAGTAAACATTGGTAAACTAGCAGTTTAGTAACCATTGGTAAGCTAGCAGGTTAGTAACTATTGGTAAACTAGCATGTTAGTAACTATTGGTAAACTAGTAGTTAGTAACTGGTGGTCAATCAATAGATTAGTTATTATCAGTCAATCAGGGGTAAATAACTATGAGTAGTAAACTAGCAGCTATTTAGTGACTAATGGTAAAGTAGCAGTTTAATGACTCTTGATAAATGAGCAAATTAGAAACTATGGATAAGTTAACTGGTTCGTATCTTTTGGGAAGCTAGCTGTTTAGTAGTAATTGAAACGTCTCTTTGTTGGGTTTGGACTCTGATTTATTCTACACTAGGTGAAGAGAATGATGGAGAGAACATCTGGATCACAACCCCCCCCCTTTACTAGCCATCTTATATCAGATATGGTTTATCCTTCTCTCAAAGTTGATCCATTATCTTTAAAACCTTTATTTTTCTTTCAGATCCATCTCAGATGGGAGGTTTAAGTCTTCTATTACTAGCAGGCCAGCAAGACACTGGCAAAAAACGTCTAGCTCCCTCTCATGACCAACACAAGACAGTGCGTAGAAGTAATTCTGAGCCAGCAGCTAATGATGAAGAAGAAGAAGAAGATGATGATGACAGCATTAAATCAAAATTATTCCAGTTTGCAGAGGTTAGTTCGCTCTCATGGTTTGAGTCTAAATATTTGTTTTGTTTTTTAAAGTTAGTTTGAAGCATATTTCTGACTTGAAATAAGTCACTGAGTCACTGATGGCAGCTGCCACTGCTGGCACAAATGACATGGTCTCTCAACTCCAGTTTAACTTGGATATCTTACGCTAGACTCTATGGAAAGTGTGTGTTGAAAATATCAAGTACTTTGCAGGCTATAAACCAGTGTCAAAATTTGTTATGTATTGTTTTGTGTATTACCTCTTCTCATTTTTTTTTCTTTGGAAAGGGAGAGGGTTGGTAGGTGTATTTAGACACATATTCTCAGAGTTTAGTTTTCTTTGTTAATTGGATATGCTAGAGGGAAACTGTTTTGTTTTGTGATTTTTTTTAAATTTATTTATTTTATTTTTTTTTGGGGGGGGGGGGGTTAACCCTTGGATTTTGCTGCAATCACTTGGAATTTTAAATTGTTGTTTCATGACTTTTTCCCCTCAAGTCTTACACACATTTTGATACCATTTTCGTCGAAATTGTGTACCTGTATTAGGTGTTACATATCAATTAGTATGCGCATGTTATAAAAATGTGCTATAAATGCATATATTAGATAGCTTAGACAGATACCGAGATGTTATTGGTCCAGAGCTCGTCACGTGATATCAATTGCGAGGATCCAAATTGTTATATTTTCCTGGTTGGTTATATTTTACCGGCTGATGAAATGAATATATTTTTAATCAATGCATGTCGCCCTCTTGAGGACTATATGTCACCAATTACACACATTACACCATTACCGAGGGCCATTTTATTTTTTCGAAATTTTGTTTTCATGAATTTTTTTTTCCCTTGAAATTATTTTTTCCACATTTTCTTTTTTTCCCCAAAAATGCTTTTTTGGGTAATTTTTTTTTCTCCCAAAAAATGCTTTTTTAGGAAAGAATTTTTTTTTTTTTCCAATTTTTTGTTGTTGTTGTAAGGTTTTTTCTTTCTTGTACTATCTCGACAGATTATTTTTCCGTAATTTTGATTGTCCCCGAAAAAAAAATTAAAATTTTGGGCAAAATAAAATATGGACCAAGGCTATCTAATATAACAGTTATTGACTGACAGGGGGTATATACAGTGTAAAATTCTTTGGACCTGAAGGGAATTATATTTTCCCTCAGCGCTGCGCGCTTCAGGAAAATATAACCACTTGGGAAATATTACTCCCTTCAGCGGTCCAAATAATGTTATATTACACCCCCTGCCGGTCAATAACTGTATAATATTTGTGTACAAGCAGAAATGTGAATACAGGTTTAGATGTACTTCTTCATAAGTGGGAGATATAAATTAATATCGAATTGCTTTTACATGTTTCTCAGAGTAACTTGATGTATTCCAGAACAAAACAATACATTAGAAATAAAACATTAGATATAATAAGAAATGAAAAACAATAACATACATAAGAAAATAAAATGATGAATTTCAAACTATTTTTCTTCAGATATGAGCAGTGATATGCAGATGGGAGAAATATTATTCTACAGTGAAAAAGAGGGTGAAATTATTGTTTTTGGCTTCGCTTACAGTACTAAACATACTTTAAAAAAAATAATAATCATAATTTATGCAAATTTACACAAAAATTTATGAAAAAATAACGAAACTTCATGAATTTGAAATAAAGAAACATTTATTCAATACAATTTTAAGATACTTCACAAGTTTAAAGACAAATATGTAGAGTTTTCTGTAAAATGCATAACGTTAGCATTTTGCATAATTAATTAGGCTCTAACAACAAGAATTTGCATATTCGGATAAATAATTGTACCATCTTGTTCCTTACGTGAATATCTACAAACATGCTAAATTTTGTGTTCATCGGACATTCGATGGCCGACATCTTTGGGGAGCTCAAAATAGCCCAATACAGTAAAGGGAAACATAGATTTGTAAGATTGCAAAGGTAAAACTGTGATATCTTTTTATTTTTTAGATGTGCTCCGATCAATCTGCCATGAAACCTGAATACAAATCTGATACGTCTGATTCAATAAACCTCTGCAATCAGACGATCCCTGTCAAGCATACAAGCATCTTCTCAAAGGACAATGCAATGGATGCCTCTATTATCAATAATAATACAATCCCTTTCAACAGTAAGATGCACGTCAGGATTACCTCTGGCAAACCAACATCGGACAGATCGAATGGATCCGTGATTAACAGGACTGATATAAAGGCTGAAGATGAGATGACTATGCAAGTGGGTTTCAGGAATGAGAAGGGGGAGGAGGGGGAGAAGGAGGAGAAGGGGGAGGCGAAAGACGAGGAGAAGGAGGAAGAGAAGGAGGAAGAGAAGGAGGAAGGAATGACCAAAATAAAGATGAATAACAAAAAGAGGAAAAGTGAGAAGAGCTCCAAGAAAAAGAAGAAGAAGAAGAAGAAGGTCTTGAAGAGCAATGATTCTAGTAAAGCTTTATCTCTTAGCTGGCCTGGTGCTTTAAAGGGTGCGCTCAAGACAGAGAGTCCGAGGAAAGATGGAGAGAAGGAGGAGGATGGCGAGAAGGAGAAGGAGAGTTGCTTGACCGATGGTGAGGAATCAAAGTCTTCAGGACAGAGAAAGTCTAGGAGGTCATGCAAGGGTCAGCTTTATCGCAAGCTTGTTGATCAGGTACTGATGGTTTAGAGTTAAAGCTAACCTTAAACGTTGAGTTCTGGGAAGAGGAGACAAATAAGTTGTGAGCGTTTCCATTTTTATATGCAAGTGTGGAAGAACATCAGATTAAAAATGTTCCTTGAAAAGCTCTTCAAATGCCTTAATATTCTAAATATGGCATGTAACAACGTAAAATCTGGACAGATTTTTATGCCACATGTTCGTGTAGTCCCATATACATTTTTCTGTGTACAGTGCTTATAACTGTACCTAACTAGACTGGGCCAAATTTCTTAAAATTTTGACGATTCCAGAACCTTGCAGTACACATCAATACATATGCTAAATGATGAACCTGTAATCGCATGACCAGAACTCAACTATATCTTTAAGCTATGGGGGTGTTTCATAAAACTGTTCGTACAGTTACGCATGACTTTAGAAACGACTTGTATATGAAATACCAGATAGGACGCTAACATTTTTTCCTGATGCTTGTGTGACTATATTTCCAATAACCTCAATTAAATTATGGCAAAGAAATATACTTTGCATTAAAAAATGAATGTTATTATAAGAATGTTAGTCTACATCTGCACTGTTAAACTTTAGTTGATGCAGTTAATAACGATTGAGCATCCCATTTTGCTTTTCATATATAAGTCATTCATGAAGTCATGCGTAACTTTACGAACAGCTTTACGAAACACCCCCCTGGTATGGGAATTTTCACAAAGACTAAGATCGACTTTAAATATGGCACTTTTTGCTCTCACCAAAGTGGACAAAGTGTTAAAATAGAGAAACAAGATAATAAAAGTGCTATTACCGGTATACAAATAATACACAGGTGTGAGTGCGTTATGGCAATGCGGCACATGAGGGTATTCACTATGGTATGTTGTGCCATTGTGAATACCTGAATAGCGCCGATAACGTCATGAACGCAAACCCGTGTATTTGTGGGTCTACTATCGATTCTTAGCAAGGCGATAACACTGTAAACTTGCAACTTTCATAACAAATAACGTGTGTACACAGACGATGGCGGGAGCAGTGTCCTCGTAAACAGACATGCAGTACATTCTGAAACCCATGTTATAATGCTTAATGTTGCATTTGTTAATGATCATGCACAAGTTCATTTAAATTTCTTCCACAACTGAATCCTGTTCAGATGAATATTTCTTTTCTTTTCATTTCCCAGGGAATGCTGGAGTCATTGCAACGGCCTGAGAGACCATTCAACTGCAAGAAAGCTTGGCGTCATAGTAACGAGGGAATGAGTGGTTTCAGCGATGCTGAGGATGAAGTATTCCAACCTGAGGATGGGAAGAAGACTAGAAGACCAAGGAAAAGAACAAACAGTGGATCTAGTCTTACATGCTCAGATTTGTAAGTAGTATCTCACACACCAAATGAATATACATGTAGTCTATTCTTTTCAGCTCAGTAATATTCTTTTATCTAGGGATAACCTTAGTTTGCAGGCACAAACCCTGGTCAGTCGTAAAAGACAGTCTGCACTATAAGACTACCATAGGCCATGTACTAAAGCTGCTCCTGACACACAACCAGTAGGTATCTGGGATAGGCTTCTCTCAAGGCACAATGATTTTTTGATAAAGTTTCAAATTAGGGTCTGTGCTTGCAGACTAGGACAAAGTCGTAACTCCACATTGTGCCAAAATGGGTATTTGATATCAAAATGTTTTGGAAACACAAAGACTTAACTCCACCGAACACCTCATTGAAGTCAATGGCTAGTGAAAAATAGACTTAACTCCTTGATGCCCAAGTGCCCAGTGACACATAAACCACTTTTTCTCAACATGGGCAAAATGGAGTTTTTGTCTTTGTGTCACGAACCCCTCGATATATACATTTTATCTGGCTATTTATAGGCTTAATGTTATTATTTTTATAGAATTTGATATGCAACCATGAATTAAAGGAATGTGTTTGATGACGGTGATGGTGGTGGTGGTGGTGCTGATGGTGATGGTGATGATGATGATGATGATGATGATGATGGTGGTGATGAAGATGATGGTGATGATATGAAGATGATGATGATGATGGTGATGGTGATGATGATGATGATGATGATGATGATGGTAGTGATGATGATGATGATGATGATGATGATGGTAGTGATGATGATGATGATGATGATGATGATGATGGTAGTGATGATGATTAGAATGATTTCTTATATATCTGCGTCTATTCTCTTATCATAACAGTGACTATGGTGAGATCAACGTTGAAGCTAGACTAGCCACACTGCCTCAGTATGCCCCAGAACAATTCAGAACAAAGAAGAACTCTGGCTTGAAGTCTAAGAAGACATCAGACATCTACAAGAATGCTAAGTTTATCAAAGAGAGGGGTAAGTAATTAACCCACATGTTCTAAACTCTGTTAAACATTCAAACCTACTTTAGTGAACACTTGTATAGAAAGACCACATGTCAATAAAGACCACATTTGATTTTTGTTTCATTTAAATTCATTTTGATTTCCAATGAAATATAGTTTAAAATAATGTTGTAACATCACAGATATTTCCAATTCTGTTAAACCTCTAGTCAAAACCGGCTTGAAATATAAGAAGACATCAGACATTTACAAGAATGCTAAGTTTATCAAAGAGAGGAGTAAGCAATTAACTCAGGGTATGCTTCATGATATGGTTCAAGTTCAAGTTCAAATTTATTTGTTTCACATTTCACAAAAAAGAATTCACATAATTGACAAGATTAGAACATAATATGAAATATACTAAAAGTGTCACATTATATAATTAATTCTTTGAAAAGACATCGAAATTAATTGTATTCAATAGTAGGTTATACAGTGTGAAATGTGAGGAACCTATTAAAAAGCTCAGCTTGTAGATTATAGGTTCCCATAAATAAAACTAACATTTGATTGTATAATAATAATTATCCTTGCTTATATAGCACCTAACACTTACTTTATCAGAAGTCTCTATAAAGCGCTCTACAATAATGCAGCATAATTACCCTGGCTTTAATGGTGAAGGACGTAACAATAATAATAGGTGGGCAAGAAGGCCTTGACATAAGATGATATACAACGTGAAACATGCAAAAAATAGCAAAAACAGCAAATACAGCAAACAAATTACTTTGTTACCAAAGAAATGACACAATAATCCTTTAATTATTGAGGTCATTAAACTTCAAATTGAGATTTGAAGGTCCAGGGTTCAAACTGGCAGAGCAAGATATTAATTTTCAGTGCTCCACTCAGGTGATAAATTGGTATTGGTAGAGGGGGATTCTGTGAATGCTGTGAGCACCAAAATTGGTAGCCTAGCTAGAGAACACTTTAGCGTATTGTACACCCAGCGTGGTGGATATGTGCACTATAAAAAAAATATTTCTTATGATTATTTAATTGCTCTATAGATCCAGAATTGTTCTGCTAATCGTCCGTTCGTGTCTCTTTAGATGAAGATTAATGTATCTTGATCTTCGGAGTAGTTGCTACAACCGGCCGTGTCAGACATGTTGCCCCGGATGCGAGATAGGACTCTTGTAGCGTGCCCCCATTTTAAACAATTATACAAAAACAGTTAACATTACATTTAATTAATAGTATGAGACTATTAAAATTACTCTCATGTTACGGGAAAAAATATTATGTATATATATATATATTATGAATCAATTGATTTGGTCGATCCAGTTCGATGGCACAAACATGGCACAACTGGACAGAGATCCTAATAATTACAGAGCTTACAGAGCTTACAGAGCTCTGCTAATAAAGAAATACATTTGAACAAACCTAGATGACTGTATTTTTATATTGTTACAGATCACTGATGACAACAATGTGCACAATAGTCTTGCATGATGTTTTTGAGTCGAACAGTGTTAAATTGAATCTTGTAACAGTCGTTCAAAGTGTTTGACCAAAAAAAGGAACCATGTATATTGATGATATGATTTGCATAAATTATGATAATCCCAGTTTACCCACATCTACTGGATTCTGTTATACGATCAAACCTACTTTAGTGAATACTGGTATAGAATGACCATCTGTCAATAAAGACCACATTTTATTATTGTTTCATTTAAATTCATCGTGATTTCCAACGAAATATAGTTTAAAGGAATCTGCTTATGAAAAACTAGCTTCCTATAAAGACCATTTTTTTTGTCTTCCTTTAGTTGCCTTTCTATACAGGGGAGTGTTTCACAAAGACTAAGATCGACTGAAGTTGGACTTGAACTATGGCAGGCCATTCATTCCACTGGTTGCTCTCACTCACCATTGGTCTCTCAATAATGATCTTTAGATAATATCTTTTCGTTCAATAATGAACTATCAAAAGATGTAAATTTTGTAGATTTGTGACCATGATCCATACATCCCTTGAGAAACCAATGCCAGGAATGGTTAAGAGGAAATATCGGCATCAGCGGCCTGCCATAGTTCAAGTGATAACTTAAGTTGATCTTAGTCTTTGTGAAACACAAAGGAGGCGCGATAGCTCAGTGACCCGGTTTCAAAACGAAGGTGATGCGCTAATGCCCTTTGGTAAGGCATTAATCCTCATTACCAGGTCCCTGGGAGAGGACCTAAAGCTGTCGACCATCTGGTTGCTTACTTACAAGCATTTATGCTTTCTTAGCAGTCAGGTAAAAATAATCACCACCACCACCAACATTCCCCAGATCTCAATATATTTGGATTGTGAAGTGTGTGAATGACTGTGATGTATGTAAACCTCACTTTTTAGAGTTATGTTTGTTTTGATTTGAAGGAAAGAGCAAAGTGATTAGGTCGTTGTCTTCCACTGAGATGACTATCAGCGGTAGCGGGAAGAGAAAGGCAAGGAAATCATCCATCATGCACCTCCTTCCAACTAAAGGTCTGTATCCTGAAAAGGTCGAGTTCTGCTAGAAAGGGAAACGATTACTTGGCTTTATCATTATCATTGACATCATTATCATCATTTACTAAACTCATCAATTTCTGTCTTACGATCTCCTTCCAACTAAAGGTCTGTATCCTGAAAAGGTTGAGTTCTGCTAAAAAGGGAAACGGTTACTTAGCTTTATCATTATCATCATTTACTAATTAAAAGACATCAATTTCTGTCTTACGATCTCCTTCCAACTAAAGGTTTGTATTCTTAAAAGGTTGAGTTCTGTTAAAAAGGGAAACAATTTCTTAGCTTTATCCTTATCATCATTTACTAAACTCATCAATTTCTCTCTTATGATCTCCTTCCAACGAAAGGTCTGTATCCTGAAAAGGTTGAGTTCTGTTAAAAAGTGAAACAATTACTTAGCTTTATCATTATCATTAACATCATTATTATCATTATTTAGTAAATTCATCAATTTCTGTCTTACGATCTCCTTCCAACTAAAGGTCTGTATCCTGAAAAGGTTGAGTTCTGTTAAAAAGTGAAACAATTACTTAGCTTTATCATTATCATTAACATCATTATTATCATTATTTAGTAAATTCATCAATTTCTGTCTTACGATCTCCTTCCAACTAAAGGTCTGTATCCTGAAAAGGTTGAGTTCTGTTAAAAAGTGAAACAATTACTTAGCTTTATCATTATCATTAACATCATTATTATCATTATTTAGTAAACTCATCAATTTCTGTCTTACGATCTCCTTCCAACTAAAGGTTTGTATCCTAAAAAGGTTGAGTTCTGTTAAAAAGGGAAACAATTTCTTAGCTTTATCCTTATCATCATTTACTAAACTCATCAATTTCTCTCTTATGATCTCCTTCCAACGAAAGGTCTGTATCCTGAAAAGGTTGAGTTCTGTTAAAAAGTGAAACAATTACTTAGCTTTATCATTATCATTAACATCATTATTATCATTATTTAGTAAATTCATCAATTTCTCTCTTACGATCTCCTTCCAACTAAAGTTCTATATCCTGAAAAGGTTGAGTTCTGTTAAGAAGGGAAACAATTACTTAGCTTTATCATTATCATTAACATCATTATTATAATCATTTACTAAAGTCATCAATTTCTCTCTTACGATCTCCTTCCAACTAAAGGTTTGTATTCTTAAAAGGTCAGGTTCTGCTAAAAAATGTTGCCAAACGGATTTTAAACACTACAGTCTATTGGGGAAAACGAGTATGGTAAAACCGTCACTCACAGATTTTTACTTTTTTGAGGCACTTCTTGATAATTTTGAAGCATGTTTTTTTTTAGGGCTTCAATATTACACCACATCACAGACCCTGATATTAACACGTAGGGCTGTGCATCTCAGATTTGGCATTGTTAAACAATGCCTTTAAGGTAAAGAAATCTAATTCACAGTATTTTAGAGCCCACCCAAACTGTACATGACCTTTAAGCTAGTATAGGATCCTTCCGTGCATAACTAGTATCCCACATCATCGTTAATCATCCTCAAATGAATAAAGTTTCTAAGAAGAGGTTTTTTTTTCTTTCTCGTAGATTCTCTCAGCACTACCAGCCCAATGCAGTCATCACCATCAGCTCATACAGATAACATAGTAATAGGATCTAAGGTCAAGAGGTCAAAGAGTGACCCCCAACCCTTCACCCTATCTGACCTTGCAGAGGTCGCTTCCATGGAGCTCAAACCATGCAGGTAAAGGTCACCTTGAGGCTCGTTCAAATATGACGCCGTAAAACACCGCAATCAAGTACCATGTGTTTGTAATGTGTTTATGAATGGCAACTGTACGCAACAAAGGTCCAATGCATATTCAGCTAGCTCTGTGTTATAAGATGCAGAATTGTGAAGTGTATTATTATACAAATAATGCTCTGCAGTGTGGGCATTAGTAAGAATTATCCACACAAGGTACATTTGGAACAGTCCAACATGCCTGAGGTCATAGCTAAGGGTGTCTGGACTGTTTTGAAGGTATCAAGTGTGGGTAATTTGACTAATGCCCGAACAAAATGCTGTGTATTATTTGTTTTATAAGATTAGGTTTTATTTGTTTTATAAAATGATGTTTTATAACATCATTTGGATAATGACTGGTTATTAGAATTGGATAATGACTGGTCATTATCCAAATTACGCGTTAGGCAAAAATAAATGCCTGGTCACGTGTATGCTTTCAACCAATCATTTGATTAGGATCCAAGTCATTATCTTATAACCTATAATAATGTAAGAAATGCTGTGGTTAACTGCGTCCTATCTGCTTAATGCTTTGGTCTTTGAAAACAAGCTTAGATGATTTATTCCCTGGGAAGTTCACTCACAATTATATTTTTGAGGATTGATTTCTACTTTTATGGACTTTAAATTCTTATTTTTGACAAATCTGTATAAAAGCACGTAATGTACACTTTATTGCAAATTTTGCCTGAGGAGATTTCAACTTTTTGCATGAGAATCTCCTTGACAGGCAATGCAACATAATTTGTACCCTGACTCTTCCAAATTCTGCTGAAAATGGGATCGTTAAAGATCAATAAACACATTTTATCTACTAACCCAGGATAGTTAGTAGGAGACGTTTAGCTAAAACATCTTTGAATCAAATATTAAGGGTGCTTTTTGGAGTACACAATCCGCTATCTGAAAGATTCTTTTACAGTTTGTTTCTTGAAAAGAAGGAAGTCCAGAGTATTTTACAAAGGAGCTTCTTAAAAAACGGTACATGCAGAAACTGTTTTTTAAACAGTAAATGATTCTTGTTTTGTAGTTTACCTTAGCTTATTCCCACTGTAGTTTGCAATGTACTGTACATGCAGATATTTGAATGACATTTTCCAGAAATATTGTAAATAATGAACTAAAGGCTCAAAGCAATTAATTTCAACTATGCAGTGATTTATCTTGCTACCTATTATAGCAGTAAAAATCACAATAGAATTATACATGTACATGCAATTTTGAACTGTCTAGATAAATCAACTTATCAACTCGAAACAAGACAAATCTTGCTTTCACTCCAAAAAATTCATTGCCCGCAACTCTTTATGCTGTGTTGTGTCCCATTGAAAACCCTTCAATACTTGCAAGTAATAGGAAGGAGTATGTAAATCATATGGGAGGTATTGAAAAAAATATTTTGTCACACTGAAAATTTTGTTCAATTTGATTTTTGTTTTGCTACAGCTCTGCAAGCACAACATGTACTCCTGGTTCTCACATTGAGAGACCCAACCTCTGTCTTTCGGCAGTCACAGTCTCCTAACTCAACGTCACAATGACAGCGTCACTGTCACAGTCTCCTAGCACAACGTCACAATGACAGCGTCAATGTCACAGTCTCCTAACTCAACGTCACAATGACAGCGTCAATGTCACAGTCTCCTAACTCAACGTCACAATGACAGCATCAATGTCACAGTCTCCTGACTCAACGTCACAATGACAGCATCACTGTCACAGTCTCCTAACTCAACGTCACAATGACAGCGTCAATGTCACAGTCTCCTAACTCAACGTCACAATGACAGCGTCAATGTCACAGTCTCCTAACTGAACGTCACAATGACAGCGTCAATGTCACAGACTCCTAACAGCGTCAATGTCACAGTCTCCTAACTCAACGTCACAATGACAGCGTCAATGTCACAGTCTCCTAATTCAACGTCACAATGACAGCGTCATTGTCACAGTGAAAAGATTCTGCCCAGGTTCATGCTGTAAGATTATGAAAACAACACAGATGTGGAGATCAGGTGCAGATGCTTTATTATAGTTTGTGTGGTTTCCAACTGGAGTAAAGATCAGTCTTACGGGAAGACTAGTAGATAGCCAATCAACTACCGGTATGTTATCATCTGCTAGTAGTTCTTTGAAACCTTCCAAACCATTGGAAGCCTAAGGGATGTTGCATCTGGAGACAAAATGATTGATTCCTCAAACACACTCACGTCCTCTCGTTTTTGTTGTGACAAATGAGAAGCACTGGAATGGATAAATTACACCTCGGTATAAAGAGCTCTGATAACTTAATAATAATAATAATAATAATAATAATAATCTTTTAAAGTCCACTCCAAATTTTATTAAACCAAAAATGGAAATTCTTTTTGCCTAATTGATCGTGGGCCCGGCAGCCACTGAGCAGCGCCAGATCGACGTTGCTCTATCCCTTATTGTTGGAACGCCAAACAAGGTAGCAGCTACTCCCGTCTTTAACGCCTTTTGGTATGACGCGGCCAGGGTTCGAACCCATGACCTCCCGGTTGTGAGGCCGACGCTCTACTGACTGAGCCAACACACCGGTATCTGTTATAACAAGGTGATTTTGCTAGTCCCAGCTGTGTATATTCTTTTGTTTTTTTACCCTGATATAATAATATTCCTGATATAACAAGGTAATTTCCTTGGTCCCAAGGGCCTTGTTGTAATGAGTTTCCACCATACAATTTTGTTGTGAGTAATATACAATGGTAAGGACATGAATGACATCATTCATTGTCAATGAAAGTGAATGCCGCAGTTGAGCCTCACTCAAACATGACACTGTAAACAAAGCCTCAATTATTGCCCTCAAAACCTGGAACTTTTTACTCCTTGTATTAAAGGATTTCCAATACTCTCACAGCATTCAAGAAGTGTCTGAAAATATATCTTTTCTATTAAGTAATATACCTCTTTGTTTGTAAATAATGTAAAGGTTTATATGATACTGTTTTATTTCTTTCTTTGTTTTTATCGGTATTTTTGTTTCCTGTGCTCTGAATCTTATGAAAAGGGGCTTTAAAACTTGAACATTAATTAGTAACAAAAATGACAGTGGCACAGTAAAACCATTTTATGTTTTCAAATGATTGGTTTTTAAAGATGAAGTTGAGTTCTGGTCATGCGATTGCATTGTGAAAGAAACGGTGTGGAATCGACCAGAAAAGGTTGATCATCTAGCATATAAGAATTTGTGTGTATTGCAAGGTTCTGGAATCATCAAAATGATAAGAAATTTGGCCAAGTCTTGGTAAAGTTACAAACACTGTACACAGAAAGATGCGTATGGGACTACACAAACACATGGCGTAAAAATCCTACCCTGGATTTTTACGATGTTACATGACATATTTAGAATATGAAGGCATTTGAAGAGCCATGCTTTTCAGGGAACATGTCTTATCTGATGTTCTTCCACACTTGCATAATAAGAATGATAACGCTCACAAATTATTTTTCACCTCTTCCCAGAACTCAACCTTCTCTTTAAAGCAGGAATACAAAAATAAGGTACCGGTAGCTATGTATGCAACAAAGGCTCCAAAGCAATCCGATACACAAATGTGAGACCTGCTATGGATAGGACATGTGTTTTGTTTTGGCTGGTGTTTAGATAAGTCCCCCGTCATGTTAGAGTGAATGAGGGCTATAATGTGGTTATGTATTGATGTATTTTCATAAGACCACAATCTCAATTTGTCATTGTTGTTTATCAAAGATGTAGAAACCTCATAAGTTTATCTTGCCAATGTAATAATTTCTGGGATATATTGCCATTTTATTTGTGAATTTGAAATCAGCCAGCGGTGTTATTAGTTTCTTATCTCCACAATTATTGTCGCCTAAAGAGCAATAAATTCCATTGTTTAAATCTTCTTTCAGAAGTTAAATTCTTTGACTTCATCTTGAAAGATTAGGTGTGCTCCAAATATGGTGAAAGGGCCTGTACGAATGCATTTTTAGAGAGACACGTAGAGAGGTATTTATTTTATTGCCGTACTCTTAATGTGGTGATGAAGAATAGAAATTGGAAAACTCTTTTTGAGATTACTTTCTTTCCAAGAAGTGATGTAGATCCCATTCATTTTTGTGTTTTTTTCATTCATGGCGAACGAAAGAATGAAAAGGGTCTACATCATTCCATATTAAAATATTATGTCTTAAAGACTTTACAGATCTTTTGTTTGTATTTACCGTAACTATTCCTATTTACTCTGTTTTTACAAAACAAATTTCCATTTTACTTGTATAGACTGTATATATTTATATGAACTGAAATGACTTCTTTTCACTGCATTGCACCATCGTTGAATTAATGTGCCATAGACTAGCAATAAGATAACATTATATATGTAGCAGAGCTGGGGGTGTTTCACAAAGATCCTAAGTTGGACTTAACATTTATGGAAAGCCATTAGCATCTTTGAAAATATTTTGAAAAAGTTATTTTAAAAGGCATGACAAGTTGATTTAAATCATTCATATTTTCTATTATCAAGGAGATTTCATGTTCTTGATGTGGAATTTATAAAAAGTCTAAAATACTTGAATTTTCGCATATATTTCAAATATATTTTATTTTAAGGCTACAAATGGCTCTCCATAATTTTTAAGTCCAACTTAGAGTTAAGTTCAACTTAGGATCTTTGTGAAACACCCCACTGAAGGAATATCAATATTTTTGTACATATATCACATCTCACTTGTACACAAAGAGAGAAATAGATATTTTGACATATGAAATATTTGTATTTGACAAAAATATTCAATAATAGTTTGAATATTATGACTGAATAGAATATCTGGTGGTGTTCATCTACTTCATTAGGACAGTTTAATGGTAACAGCATGATGCAAATATACTATGTAGGATATATTTGACTTTGTCAGAAAAAAAAAAAATCAAATCCATAAGCCCAAATTCACAAAGGAGGTTTTCAACAAACCTAAGTTTATGTGCGTCATATGACCAAGGTTTGTAAAAACGTGTCAAAACGCATTTGTCGACAAACCTCCTTTGTGAATTAGGGCCAAAATGTTGATTAGAATGAAATAGCCATTGGTTAATACCATAATATTCCGCTGTTATGTAGCGCTTAATACATCAACAATGCCTCTTTTGCTTTACAGATATATTTTTACCACTGTCATTGGATTCAGGCTTGCCCGCACACAATGTATGCACATTCTCCACTCCCTGGGGAGCATTCCAGCCAGGTGTCATTTTACAGACGCTCACAGTACTGAGCAAACTACATTATCTGTCATATCCTACCGGGTACCCATTTAACACATGGATGGAGAGTGGCAAATGTAGATAAACGTCTTGCCAAAGGACATTAGTGTTGGGCTTGAATTTGAAACCGGTACCTTGTGATCTGCAGTCTGGTGACTTATCCACTAGACCACTACACCTCAAAGCATTAAATATGTTGTCTTCATAGCTGCCATATTATTTAGGTTTAAATCATTATTTTATGCAGTATTGGAATGTCAGTTCAATTATTCATTTTAAAGCTCCTAAGGGTGGTATTCTCGAAAGCGGACTAACTTTAGTCCATAGTTAATCCATCCACCGACTAAGTATGGAATGCCAAGTGTCCATATGAATATGTTTTAGAATTTATTTTGAACTGTCACTAATTAAAATAAAATGTAATAACATAATTAGTAAACAACAATATAACTATGATATAATTATGTTATTGTATTTTAGGGACATATCAAATTATTCAAAAATATGTTCATATGGACAATTGGTATAACATACCTAGTCTGTGGATTAAACCATGGACTTAAGTTAGTCCGCTTTCGAGAATACCACCCTAAGTGTTGATAATGATCAACACAGTAAAAAGATAATTCAGTATTTATCTATAAAGAAATTGATTACCCTGTGCGGTATGAGGTAATTTATCATAAATACTTCTTAGTTTGCAAGCTTGATACTCTTGTCACTGGCTGGTAAATGCCATTCTCTTTTGAAGCTTAAAAAGACATTTAGTTATGGAAGCCAATATTCTGGGACAGTTGTAATGGTGTTCTAAATTCATATTATAAAGTAATTTGGACTTGTTTTAAATGTTTGTTATGTAATCATCAAGTATGTCCACCAAGTTTCGTTGTTTCAATGATCTTAGAATTAGATAATGAAAGTTGTTGTAGAAGTGATACAAGATATGTGTCCTTATATAAAGCCTTCTGCATACTATATGCCCCATATTTGAACAGATTTGGATAGGAAACTTGTATCCGTGTTTAAATTTCAAAAAATTTGAAATCTGATGATTGGTGTAGATGGAAAGTTAAATTGTCAGGCAATGTAAACCTTTAGCTTCAAATCAGGGACAGTCGTGCATGATGACCTCACAATAAGACAACATTTGCCTTGGTCTTTTTGTCACCAAAGAAAGACGGTTAGGCTTCAGGGTTGCAATTAGGTCACCATGTTTTTTTTAAAAGTGGAGCTGAATTGGTATGATCGTATTGGCTACATTTCACACATTTTGGGGTCTAAAATTACCTTCATAGCAATTTTAGGTTCTAAAAGGGCACAACAAATGTCATAGATAAGAATAAGAGCAATAATCATGCACTTTGAAGGCATTTGAGGTCTGAAAACAGAACTCATCTATCCCTTTAAGGTAAAATGACCAAAAAAGCGAGGCCGATCGAGTTTGCCCGAAGTCCCAGTTAGCCCAGATTCTTTTAATGCTATTCATGCAGTAGAATTGATGTATTAGGTTGCTTTGTATGGTTATTTTTCAACCCAGCTCTTTGTGTCTTGTGCCAAATTTGTAAAGAAAGAAAGAAAGGAAAATGAAAAATATAAGTGCACATATATCTACTCACTATTTTTTCAACTCATCTAGCAAAGAGTTTTGAAGACTGAAATATTTATTTTATTTATTTATGCTGGTCAGTATTTAGTCTCTGTCACTTTTATTTTGGCAGTAAATTGCCAAGATTTGAACAGTATTCTTTGCTTGCCCTTTAATGCTATGTGATTTCCTTGTGTGCTGCATTAATACTTTCTTCTTCACTTTGTCTTCATTCTTTCATACATATTTCAGAATACATGTTAAAGCTAATCTTGAGCTCTGGTATGGGAGTCATATGTCGAGAGAACTTGGCTATAATTAATTCTGGATTGTTTATCCTGCAGTAGATGGATTGTTTGAACCAGTTAAATAGAAACAAACTTGCTGCAAATCATCTTCTTTAAAAACCACAACTCTCATTTGCACATAGTTACCTGTGTTGTATATAAGCACATGGTTTCAGGCCCTAATTATCTTGGTTTTCTTATCTTTGTTTGCTCATTCCTCGGCCTCTATACATTTCTGCCAAAATCGTTTGGCACATATCATTTATTTGTAATCTTGAACATTCATTGTCAGTTTTGTTGGATTCTGAGAGAATTTATTTTCTATGATTACCAGCATCTCTAGAGATGGATATGTTGCGCTTTATAAATATTGTTATTATTATTATTATTATTTATTCAGATGGTCATATCTCGGCCAATACTTAACATATTCAATTGGTTTTCGACATTTGGACATCATTTTTTATGCTCTTTTGGAAAATGAAGAAAAAGAAATTCTAAAAATATATTTTTATGATGTCACAGCTTCGGTACTCTTTTTTTTTTTACTCAAGGTTGGGGGGGGGGGGGGTGTGGTTGAGGGAAAAAAGAGATGGATAAGGTTCCCCCTTTCAAGATGATAATACAGTTCATGTATTGTCCGCTTAATTGAAGCAAGAAGGGCATTACATCATATACTGTAACACAGAGTTAATGCCATTCTGGCCCCAAACAGACCATATCATAGGCTTGTGTCTCATCCCAATATATGAACATTCAGTTGTCTCAACGAGGCATGAAATCTCGAATGGAATGAATTGAACAAGTATGATAAAATTAGGGGGATGACCGTTTAATATGTCAATTGGGACATATATTGAAATTGTAAAATCTCATTAATTATATTTTCTGAATGTTGTACAACAAACCCACTGTTGATGATGATCTTCTGGTCATTGGATTTAATAGACAGCTTGTTTTTATGTTCATGGTAATCTGGATTTCATTGTTACATTTTTGAATTTGTGATAGTATATGGATATAATCCACATGGTGTAAAAGGCTTGTATAATTCAGATTTATACAGATATAATTCTGTTTCAGAGAATGTTAATAAAGATTATTGATACAACATTTTATTTAGCGCATGTTGCATTGAATTAGTGTGTTATAATTACCGGTAGTCTGTTAGAAGCTATGTTTGGTTGGTTGTGTGTAGTACGGCAAGGGGAAGTAGATCCTATATAATGACTTTATTTTATGTTTTTGTTTTGTTTTTATTCGATCCCCTTAAATTTATTCAATTGTTATGTAAAGAAATTGAGATGCTGTATAAAAAAGATACGAGCATAGCTTCAAAATAATTTAGGCGCCTTGGAGGTTCTTGCATTAATTTTCTACATGGGCCACACTGGAATCCTTTTTTTTCTTCTTTTCTTTTACTTGGGGGGGGGGGGGGGGGTTCAAACTTCCCTAAAAATATACTGAACAGATGGTGAAATCATTAATAATGCGGAAATGATCCTGATTAAAATATATAGCGCTAGCTAAGGCAAGTCAAATTTAGCTTGTGTTATAGGGTTAACTCCAGGGAGCTCTGTCGCCAAAGGCGTTGATGCCTTTGGCGCCCCCCCCCCCACTCCGGGAATTGAGGAACCTCATTCATGATGTTCCCAAAATCTCTGGTAAAGGGGTACTTTTCACGCAACAATTATGTCCGGCTGGTAATACACACACAAAAATCGGCCTGTAGGCCTATTGACTTTACACACTGGACTTAGGGGGTTGGGGAGGGGGGGGGGGGGGTACCAGTATGTTAATTTTGTCAAAGATTCTATATTGCAGATAATGAATGATGATTGATTAAAGGCATCGTTTAACAATGTTAAATCTGGGTTGCATGGCCCTATTGTTATTGTCGTGATATTAGCCCTAAAAGAATTGCGCTTCAAAATGATCATGAAGTCCCTCAAAAAAAGTAAGAATCTTTGAGTGACCGTGTTGTTACCATACTCGTTTGCCCAAATAGACTGTAGTGTTATGAAAACCGTCAGGAAAACGCAAATTTGATTTTGATTTCCAATCATAAATATCTAGACAGGCGATCGGCTTGTAAAAGTCAGCTCGTGGGGTTCATGACTGACCTATAAAGGTTTATAATTATCATTGCAGCATGAGCTAAATCCAGAATTATGTTTCAGAATCTGAAACAAAGTTACCCAATTCCTTTAATACTTCGAATTAATTACTTCGAATACATTATTGAGATTCTTCATCAAAATATAAATACATCGTATTGTCAGGAAGCCAATTTCTGTTAAATCAACCTGCACGCCGCGCTCGATCTTCAATGTTTTTTCCTGTTCTGTTTTCTCACAACAATCGTACACTCCACCATAATAGAACTGCGGGCCCGAGTTACGAAAAAGTAGAATTTCTATTGAATTGTCATGCTTTTTTAGTCAGTTGTACGCACATTTACTGGTAAGAATACACATTTATATTCTAATAATAATATAGTAGTAGTAAATATTATCAGGCAACTATCATGATTATCGTAAATGTACTGTCTATGATATGTAAAATAAGGTGCCCAAAATTTGCTTGACTTCAGGTTCACCTGTCTGCGGCCGCGGCCCATGCAGGCCTTCGGTCTAGGGCTCTCGACTCAATTAAGCCGCCGCGCCGGTGGGCCAGGGCAATGCCAGGCCGCGGTGTATGTCGGTGCCGAGCTGCTAGCTGTGCTCGACTCGCCCTTTCCCACACGACTAGATCTAGATCTAGTACTAGCCTTCTCCTTCTTCTTTGGGTTGAGTCTGCCTCCTTCACAGTTGAAGATTCTTGCAGACTGATGAGTGTGTGTGTGTGCAGGTGTGCGTGCTCTCGAGAGCCAGGTGCATGGTGCAATGCTACTACGTACGCGAACGAAAAAATAGAATTCATTGAATCTCTTTAAAAATAGTACCATTCGAAAGAGCACGTAAAAGACATCTAAAATGTTACCAAGATCATCACCCTAGCCGGTCAACAAATAGTGAAATAATGATATTTCAATGTTTAAAAAAACATTCATTTTTGGTAACCCTTCCCCCCCCCCCTTAGGCCCTAATTATAAACCACACAAGTCAAAGGAGAGTTGTGTGACAACTTGTGACCTTTTTGTAACCCTCATCAGCAAGAAGCAATATGCGCACTTTTCTTTCACAATGCAATCGCATTACCAGTACTAAAGTTTATCTTTAATCTGCGGTTGCTCATACTAGCTCCGGTTCTGATCATCGCAAACACAAAATTGAAGAACGATTTCGAAGTGGAATATCCCACATGTGGTTCGATACCGTATTCATGATGTAAGCGACGGCCATTTGAGTAGAGCCCTGTGAATTAAGAGCGCGGTGCCAAATCGATGCACCGTGGACGTGCGGATAGTCACCTACCTAGCAATGCTATTAAAGATAACATGGTGCAAGTTAACGGACGACGGCAGGTTATTCCAAGACCTCACAATCCTGGGAAAGAAGGACTGCTTATGTTGCTCAGTTCTTGAACAGGGGACTTTATTTAAAGCTATGTGCGTGGGCAGTCCTGCTGGGTCTTGTGACAGTGATACTACCGTTGGTGAAGGTGATGGGACAAACTATCACTTCCGAAGCGATCTGGATGAAGCTATCTTTCTGATTTTGCTTCAGAAAGATAGCGTATACATTCAGATCGCCGAGGAAGTGATAGTTTGCCATCGCCTGAAACCGAAAGGTGATTATTTGCTTTATATTCCACATCGGAAACATTTCACCTCTTCCGGCATTTTAGAGTAATAGTCATCAATTAACAGCTAGCATACGGTGTACGATACGTACAGTGCATGCAGTATGGTGGTGTGACCATATAGTTCGCGCATGACCAAAGTTCGCGTACTAACACTAAAAGCGCTTAAAGAGGAGAGCAATACGCAGCGAATACAATTAAAGTGCATTGCACTGTGTAGATAGTAGCATATCTACACAGTGTAACAAACTTTTTGCTTCATCCAGCAATGATGGGCGAACTATCTTTCATCACGTGATTTACTTTTGACCAATCGTAGAGCAAGATTCTTAGTATGTGGAATATAATATGAAATAATATGATATTGATATCACCTACATGTAGCCTTAATTGGCACCCATTTGTCTGCGCAAATAATGGTGTAATTTGTAAACATCAAATCAAATGCATATGTGGCTTTCTTTTCACCTCTTCCAAAGTTCAGCTTCCCTTATAGACCGAAAGCTTCAGTCTCTATACCGTCGGTTGTTCCACTGAGACTACGTCTGGCTCCACTAGACCTCCGGTTATAGAGACAGAACGATCGCCTATGCCAGCCTATGTTGAAGATATCACGGCTAGATTTTAGCCGTTAGGCCCCTCCCACAAACATGAACAAACTTGCCACGGCCGTATTGTTATGCCCCCAAAATCCCCCAATGGGAAAAACTGTGATAACGCCATTACGAACGTGTAGATGGCGCACAGTTTTTCCTTCATAATCATTTTGCCTTCGGCGTAGACTAGAAGGGATGAGATTGACGGCAGCGAGAGTTTAACACGGCTTGCAAGATTTTCAACATGGATGTCGATTTTGACCCATAATTTCCTTAAAAGGGACCATTAAACGGATTATTTCAATCAAGCTAGTAAGTGGAACCGATGTATTATAGCCTAGGCCTAATGTAAAATTGGATATGCACGAGGTAAAATGACATTTTGGGGGATTTTGGGGGCATAACAATACGGCCGTGGCAAGTTTGTTCATGTTTGTGGGAGGGGCCTAACGGCTAAAATCTAGCCGTGATATCTTCAACATAGGCTGGCATAGGCGATCGTTCAGTCTCTATAACCGGAGGTCTAGTGGAGCCAGACGTAGTCTCAGTGGAACAACCGACGGTATAGAGACTGAAGCTTTCGGTCTACTTCCTTTAGTGCCTTACCCGACGGCCGACTAACCTTGGGTGGGAACTACCTTTGGAGCTCACTAAGAAAAATGAAATACACTACCTTCGGGCTCAGCAAACTCTGTGTGTGCACTGTAGTACACTAAACTATTAAAGCTAGTATTATCGTGAAGTCACCATCAAAGACAAAGTGGCAATTCAAATCCATGTACATTTATTTAAAGGTGGGGTGACATCCAAATATTTCTAAGTTGATTCCTGTTGATGTGCAGGGCTGCATACAACTCATATTATGTTATTCAAACATCTAAATATATTTCATAGATTTCTAAATATTTTTAAAGATAATGTTCTCAGACCTGCTAAGCTCCACCCTAAAGAGGCTCCAGATCTTATTCATCTTGTGAAACAAGAGACAGTGGTATGTAACTTCCCCCAGCTCAGCACATGCTCATAAAAGAATTTGCATTCTTTCATACAATACCTCCACATTACCTTTCTTTTCTTGGTGATGCTACAGCACGTCTGACACAGCAACTCCCATGTTGGTATTGTGTGGTCTATTGTAAACAGGTGGTCGGCTTTTGAGTACATTCTTCTGATTAGTTTTAAAGACCGTCTCCACTAGTTTGGGGGATTAAACCTCCCTGCAAGGTCACTGGCAGGTGGTTATCTCATCAACTCAGCTCTCAATTAACATAAGAAAAAGGGGATCATGGGGGACCAACAGGCACCGATTAGGCATTGTTTGCTATATAGAGGGCGCAAGTAGCTCTGAGTAGTGCAGAGGGGCTTTAAACACTTTGTGTAAATATATGTTTTCTCTCCTAGACTAGAGATCTATACTAGACTTGACGATGGCAAGTCTGCAGGGTCTTCAGCTGGTGCGTAACTTCTTCACTCGGGCTGGAGGGTTATCAATCAGAGCGACACAAGTACTCAGGTGTGTATGTCATCATTACCATCACCATCTTCATCATTGTCATCACCATCATCATTGTCATCACCATCATTGTCATCACCATCATCATTGTCACCATCATCATTGTCATCACCATCATCATTGTCATCACCATCATCATTGTCATCACCATCATCATTGTCATCACCATCATCATTGTCACCATCATCATTGTCATCACCATCATCATTGTCATCATCATCATCATTGTCATCACCATCATCATTGTCATCACCATCATCATTGTCATCACCATCATCATTATCATCTTTATCATTGTCATCACCATCGTGATCATCATCACCATCATCATCATCACCATCATCATCATCATCACCATCACCATCACCATCTTCATCATTGTCATCCCCATCATGATTACCCTCATGATTATTGTCATCATCATAGTCATCACCATCATCACCATCATCATGATCACATCAACATCATCATCACCATCATCATCATCATCATCATCATCATTATCATCATCATCACCATCATCACCATTATCATCACCATCATCTCTACCAGTGTGTGTGTATGTGTGTATGGGGGGGGGGGGGGGGGTTCAGGTTTTATTGATATAGTAGAACCTCATTATAACAAGCTCTGACATTATGAGGTATCTAATAACATTGCCTGTCCTAGCACTTTATCTTCTTTTCTTTTTTTTACCCTGATATAGCAAAGTTCCTAATAAATGTCCCTGGACCCAAGTACCTTGTTATAATGAGTTTCCACTCTACCAACTTTGATCTCTGCAATGTATGCAGTCTATCCAGATTTCCTTCAGTCAAAATCGTCTTTCTTCTCCTGCCCCCTTTATTTACTGCAGCCTATCAGTATTCTCTTGTCTGAAGATCTGAGTCTGCTTTCTCTTATCTTATCACTAACCTCTTTCATATTTCCTGTAATTTGTTCCTCATCATTCTATAATTATAATAATAATAGCTAGTTCTATATTATTACCCTGGTCATCGGATTCAGGCTTACTAGCACACAATGTATGCACATTCTCCACTCCCTGGGGAGCATTCCAGCCAGGCATAATTTTTTACAAGTGCACACTTGCTAATCTAAGCACATTAGTTTTAGCATCCTACCGGGTAGCCATTTAACACCTGGGTGGAGAGTGGCGAATGTAGATCAATGTCTTGCAAAAGGACATTAGTGCCGTGGTGGGACTTGAACCGCGGACCTTGTGATCCACAGTCTGGTGACATATCCACTCGTCCACGACACCTCTAGTTGTATTCAAGTTTATAGGCTTGTACGAAGTGTGGTCACCAAAAGAAATTGACTGTTTTTTATTTGAATACAGAGCTGAGCCTCCAAAGAAGAACTGTGTCTGCTTTCTCTTATTTTATCTTATCACTAACCTCTTTCATTTTTCCTTCATTTTGTTCCTCATCATTCTAGTAGTATTCAATTTTATTGGCTTGTACAAAATGTGGTCACTAAAAGAAATAATATAAATTCAGAGAAAATATCTATATAATAAGAATGTTTATTTTCTCTATATACTCATTTTATGTTGTATGTATCATGTCACATGTACATTTTGTCTATTTTTCTCTGTGCATAATGCATGTAAACACAACAAATTCCTAGGGCTTAAATTAATCCAAGGCCACCAAGGTCATGGCCTTGGATGCCCCTTTGAGTGGCCTCAATGCCCTTCTCATTGGCCTTGGAGATTTGTTGTGCCCTTTCCAATTCTTATTATTTGTGCTGTAATATAGGAATGTTCCTACAGAAAAGTGGCCTTGCCCTAAAAATATTGAAATTTATGGCCTGAATTTCCTTTTAGACCAATAAAATTTGATATTGACTGTTTTTTATTGAATTCAGAGCCGAGCCTCCCAAGAAGAAGAAACGAGTTGATCCCAAGCAGGAGGTTATGAGACAACAGAGATTACTCAAGAAACTCAAGAAAATTCAGTTTAAGATGGGTGATCCTGAACTCAAGCCTATCGTAGACTTCGATGTAGACAGAAAACTGATGGAAGATGATAGGTGAGTAAGCAAATATACACTATGAACATGACGGTCAAAGAGAGCGGACAAAATATACAGTTTCTCATTCTACCACCCTCAACAATTGCTGTGGTAGATAAAGGAACATCCCTTCACTGGTAATATGTAAAAATAAGTAGCACAGGTGGATATGCATGTGACACCTGTTCTACACATTTTTACTTAATAGCAGCGAAGGGATGTTCTTTTGTCTACCACAGCAATTGTTGAGGGTAGAATGAGGAACTGTATATTTTGTCCGCTTTCTGTGTCCGTCATATTCATAGTGATCTACCTTTTAGTTTGAGTCTTAAGTCTTTATTTATTTAATTCTCAATAAAAACAACATTCATGAAATATATACACAACAGAGTAATACCAATAGAAATCAATACAGAATAATTAGAACAAAAACAATTTATGAGAATGAGGGGTCAACAAAAAAGAGCAAATAGCCTTATAGTACCTTGATCTCATAATTAACAATACATACATGATTATAGCAAACAAAAAGACAAACAAATAAAACCAAGAAACAAGCATGCAATATATAACATTTCACATTAAAACTACAAACTTAAAAGGTGGGATTTATAATGGCATTTCAAAGAATTAAGTGATATGCAGATTTTTAGTGCTGGAGGGAGATTGTTCCGTAAAAATTATTTAAACAAAATATTTGAGTTATGGAAACGTGAGGTCATCTCAAGTTCTAGTATCTGTAGATTCAATGTTATGTAAAATGTTCAGGGAGGTGTTTCACAAAGATCCTAAGTTGAACTTATCTCTAAGTTAGACTTCACAATTATGGAAAGCCGTTATCATCATTGAAAATATTTTGTAAAAGTTATTTCACAAGGCATATGTTGATTCAAATCATTCATATTTTTTATTATCAAGGAGATTTCATGCTCTTGATGTGGAATTTATGAAAAGTCTAAAATACTTAAGTTTTTGCTTTTGGAAATATTTAATTTTAAGGCTACAAATGGCCCTCCATAATTTTTAAGTCCAACTTAGAGTTAAGAATTGTAAATAACACATGTTTTGCATAGTTTGGTTTAAAAGAAAATGATTTGACTTCGGTAAAATTAGACCCATGTGACTGAGTTTTGTAGTCAGTGTTAACTGCATAATTACCAAATGGTATTTGATGTTAAGAGTTTTCAAGAAGGAAATAAGCTTTAAAACTTTTAATCCTTGATAAAATGTTGTTCACATCATATTTACTGTTTTGCCATAAAGAACCATAGAGATTGTCAATCAGTGCATTTTTTACTGGACCGTTTGCTTTTGTTCTTTTACAAACAAATTGTTTTCGAATTCACAGCTTTTCATTAAAAAATTGTAGTAAGAAAAGGAATATACATGTAGTCATGTACCATTGTTGCCAATTTAAAAAAAAAGGCATCAATCATAAATAATTTGGTTTCTTGCAGAAAGAGAGATGACAATGAAGCAGACTTCGAAACATCCGAAGAAAGAGCTCGTTTGCAGAAGGCATGGTCTCGTTATAAATTCCAGCAGCATGTGACAGAAACTAACACCATCAAGAAATCAATCAGGTGAGTGCAGTCTAATCCCTTGTCTAATCAAGAAGTTTCTTCTGGCAAGGTATTTATTTGTACTTGTTAACTTTGCCTATGACAAGACAAAGAAATTGGCACTTATTAACCGTGCAAACCGGGGGGGGGGGGGGGGGGGGGGGGGTTTCACAAAACTTGTCATCAGTGACGAATGACAGTTGTTGTTATAAGCTACTGAAATCCTTGCTTCTGATTGGTTATCAGCAGATTTGTCACTGATATTTGTCATTTGTCATAAAAAAAAAGGCTTTGTGAAACGGGTCCCTGGACTAGAAATTACTGTTTACAGATTTCAGACAAAAGCTGAAAGGAGCTGAAATTGGATTCATGATATTAATATTTTGGACTATTTTACGCCACCCGTCACAGATCACAGACGAAAGCCCTTGAGGAGCTGAGATTAGAGTCTGAAGAGCTTTATCAAGCTGCAATCCAGAGAGATCCAGGTTTGTTTCCTCTGCTAATCACCGGTCCTACATACACCCCACCTGTGACGGACTACTCAGCGGTTAGTCCTGATGGAGACTATATAGACGTTACCAAGCAGTATAAATGATTGATGCGGACTACTCAGCGGTTAGTCCTGATGGAGACTATATAGACGTTACCAAGCAGTATAAATGATTGATGTGGACTACTCAGCGGTTAGTCCTGATGGAGACTATATAGACGTTACCAAGCAGTATAAATGATTGATGCGGGTTAGGAGATGCATAGGGTGGTATTCTCGAAAGCAGACTAACTTTAGTCCATGATTTAATCCACCGACTAACTTTAGTCCATGATTTAATCTACCGACTAACTTTAGTCCATGATTTAATCCACCATCTAACTTTAGTCCATGATTTAATCCACCGACTAACTTTAGTCCATGATTTAATCCACCGACTAAGTATGGAATGCCAAGTGGCCATATGAATTTTTTTTGAATAATTTGATATGTCCCTATATAACCATGATAAAGTAATTATCTCATAGTTATGTTGTTGTTTATTAGTTGTGTAATTATATTTTATTTTGATTTAGTGACAGACTAAATTATTAGAAAATATGTTCATATGGACACTTGGCATTCCATACTTAGCCCGTGGATTAAACCATGTACTAAAGTTGGTCCGCTTTCGAGAATACCACCCAAAGACACTTGGACAAATCGTGATATTTCCGTCCTTCATACGATGAGATCCTAATAGTCTGTAGTGAAGATGAATAGACACTTGGACATGTCATATAAGTCTCGCCCTGTGAAGAGAGTGGATTCTTGCCGGAGCAAAGTCTTACAAAAAAGGTACCAAGAAGTATACTACATGTAAGAAAGGTAATACAGTGAAACCTGTCCATTAAGACCATCCAAGGGAGACAAGAAAAGTGGTCTTTATAGGCAGGTGGTCTTTATCTACAGGTTCCTTACATACATGTTTCAATGAGAAACCATTTTCAAGGGAAACAGAAAATGTGATATTTGTAGTCAGGTGGTCACTAAAGCAGATATTATTGTTTATCTCCATGCTTACATCCAAACTAAATATATGGAGTTATGTCTTTGTGTCACTGAACCCTCTACTTGTATCTAAATTAAAAAATATAATAATAATCCTATTAAGCTTTTATATAGCACTTAATACAAATGTCTCTAAGCGCTTTACAAATATAGTATTACCCCGGTCATTGCTTGCCTGCACACAATCTCCACTCCCTGGGGAGCATTCCAGCCAGGCGTTACTTGACACTCAAAAACTGTTTGACCAACAATGACGGTCGCATCCTACCGGGTACCCATTTAACACCTGGGTGGAGAGTAGCAAGTGCACACACAGATGAATTTTGATACATGCTCTTAAATAGAAATGTTATGAAATCGTAATTATTGTTAATTTAACCACTTGACTGCCATTGGTTCAAAACGCGTTCATACCCCCTGTGCTACAGCATTTTTGTACTGTATAAACACCTAACAAAAACTGTACACTGTACACACAAAAAACAGCCGGATTTTTATGGAAGAGCGCCATCTACTGTTCAAGACCTGTATACACTATGAATATGACGGACAAAGAAAGCGGACAAAATATACAGTTCCTCAGGTAGACAAAGGAACATCCCTTCACTGCTATTATGTAAAAATGTGTAGAACAGGTGTCACATGCATATTAACCTTTTTACTTGTTCGTCATGTTCCTAGTGATAACATCATTGCAGTGCTAATTACACAGCAGGGCTTGGTAATTTGCAGTGCTACGGTCTTGAAAGTGCAATGCCCTAAGCACGTACATGTACATGCTACGCACAGACATGCGAGAAAACGTAAATGTACGTGGGTAGCAGTCAAGTGGTTAATGCTCGCAAGTGCATTTCATGATACTCGGGTGGTAGATTTTGTTCAAAAGGGAGAGAAATCAGATTATTATGTTGCAGTGTACCTTGATTGAGAGTGATTATATATGTAATATGGACTGGCCTTGAGGGAGATATTTCCCAAACTAGACTCATATTGCCCGAGTCAAAGACGAGGGCAGTATGGGTCTTGTGAGGGCAATATATGTGGTATCTCCTGAAAGTTAAGCCAGTCAATATTGTTATTATTATCCAAATCAGACATCTACAGCAAATACATAAATCAACCATGACAATCTCATAGAACTGAAAAAACTTTGTCAAACCAGCACTGTGCATCCAGTGCTTCCATACACTGCACACAGTGTACATAATTTGGTGTGATTGTTACGTCACAATAGAGTGCGCGCAAAGTTCTCGTACGCATAATAGAAAATGAAAATGACAAAATACGGCGCGGTGAATACAAGACTTTACTGATTTCCTGCCTTCTTAACACGTAAAGTCCATAGGCTTTTCATGAGAGGTGAATATGGTCTCATATTCACTGATTATCTCTTTTAGGATAACAACAAGTGTAATATGATTTTGTAAAACCACTGCTCAGATGTCTGATACGGGTAATAATCTATATTGATATTAAAATTTCTGTGAATATTAAAGGAAAATATGGAAGTGCCAACTCGATTCAATCTAATAGGCTGACTCTGTATTCACATTATACATGTAGTGGTGCATAATAAACTGATTAAAATAAACCAAGACTTTACAATCACCTTGCTTTGTCTCAAAAATTGATATACATTTTAAGTACCGGTACATGTAAATGGACACTTTTTTTTTTTTTTTTGGTCTTGCAGTTTGAAAATTTGACATTTGGCTCCGTTGGGGGGGGGGGGGGGGGGGGGGTAAGGTCACCTTTTTAGGTCAGCCATGAGATTTCTTTTTTCTTTTTTTTTTTTTAATAAAAAAAAATAATAAAAAAAAAAAATCCAAGGGGGGGGGGGGGTTTAAACCCAACCCCCCCCCTGTGTACGCGCCTGGCTGCGACCATGACAATCTTAGAATATGTAGTTGTGATATTTCCAAACGGAAATAGCCAATCCGTCGATTTTAGTCAAAAAACATTGTTTTATGGCTTAATTAGTATCTTGACCTTGAGAGGGAGCTATACACCATTAAAAATTATTGTTTACAATTTCATAAATGAGACTCAATTTCAACCGTGATAACCATCACTGAATATTGTATGATCGCATATTCTTCCAATATGTTAACTTGGACCAAATTCATGACCCCATTCCAAAACTTTGAATTGATTATGCATCTTGGTTTTGAGCGATATGTTTTATATTGGAAAGTGGAAAAAGAATGCAAGAAATACAGAGTCATACACGTAAGTCAAGACAAAGTAGAGGTCTCGCGGCTCAGTGACATAGAGCCTAGTAATTGATAGTAAAATCAATCAATCTATCAATCAAAGAGTTGTCATCATTGTTATACTGGGGAGTGTTTCACAAAGACTAAGATTGACTTTACGTTGGTCTCAACTATATTCATGCCAATTTTTTTGCTCTCACCATTTACTGGCATTGGTCTCTGAATGGACGTACACATCATGGTCACATATCTACATAAATTACTCTTTGTGATGGTTCATTACTGAAGAAAAAATATTATAATCCAAACATCATAATTGAGAGACCAATGGTGAGAGCAACCAGTGGCATGAATGGCCTGCCATAGTTAAATCCAACTTAAAGTCCGTTAGTCGATCTTAGTCTTTGTGAAACACCCCCCCCCCCTCCCCCGGAGTGAGGTAGTCCTGCAGATCTCCCGGTTGTCTTCCAGATATAAGTTCAATTATTAGTAAGCGACTTAAAAAAGTAGTGCAGAATGCGTGGATGTCAGGTTACATACAATTGGCTAGCAAGCCAGTGTTTATCTAGACCAGTCTTAAAAAATACCTATGTTATGTGCATCGACTAGAGATTCTGGCAGTTTATTCCATAGCTCGATGACAGCTCGATTACTGAAGAAACATCCTCTGATCGACATACCCATACTACATAGGTTGATGTCATGTCTCTCGGGTTCTGCTACATTCACCTTCATGCAGAGGCGGCGGAGCGACTTCCAAAGTGGGGGGCACCAACAAAAAAGGGCACTTTCTCGAAAAAGGGCACCTTCAAAGGGAAACCTCGAAGGGAAAATATACAATTTGTTAGACATTGGTATAAACCCCTATATTGTGATTACATTATCGGGATGATTTCAATATTTGCTGAAGTATTATACTTTGCAGTTGGGTGTGATGGTGGAAAAATTCATTTGCGAGGAAAGTTTTCAAGATTTGTGAGGTCGCAGTGCGAAAAATTACATCTTATAAAGAGGAAAAACCCAATCCTGATGGGGTTATAAGCACATTCTCATAGCGGAAGACTAAAAAGATCTTTGATAAGTTACATAATTATAACATCTATAACTACGAGCGAGCATGGCGAGCGAGCTTTGGGGGTAACCGATTTTATTCGCTTGAAATTAGGGGCACATTTAATGATGAGAGGAAAAGGGGACACTTATCCAAAGGGTTAAAACACTTATTAGCAAAGAAAAGGAGCATGTGTCAAAGTACAAAGGCTAATTATCAGAGGTGAAAATGGGGCACTTCTTACACCTAAAAAATAAGGCATGCAGCAGGAAAGAAAAGGAGATGGGCATTTGTCGACGTAAAAGAGGCACCCATCAGATTTTGATAGGGGGCAGTTATAAGAAGAGAAAAGGGGCATTTATGAAAAAGGGATAGGTCATTGTTAAAAGGGTAATGGGAAGGGGAAGTGGCTCTTATTAAAAAGAAAAAGAGAATAAATATATCTTAACGAGACTTTTATCACTATACTTCCTACTCCTCATTTATTAATGGCGGCATTTTCTTATCTAATGATGGATTACTGACTTTCCCTCCGGTTTTTCTTGTCCCTAGCCCCCTTCCCTGGCAAAAAAAAAAGGGGGGGGGGTGGGTGTTGATTAAAAAAATAGTACTCACTACCCCCACCCCCCTCCCAGTCATGAAAGGATTTTTTTCCCGACGAGAATGGAAATATACTACTCAAAGGAAATGTACTACTCTAAGATCAGTTAGAGGTAGCCAAGCGTAGGATTTATTATTTCATCATTTTGCATTTAAGACACACAGTAAATGGTTCTTTTGTTATGCATGATTTTTGGTTGGCTATTGAATGTAGCTAGAAATAGAAATAGCTGGCATACCTAGGATGTTTTGAATGTGAGGGACCTGGCAAAGGAAGGGTATAAAGGGAAGTTATTTTAGAATAACTCCGGAGCCCCATCCCTTGGCAAAAAAAAAAAGGGGGGGGGGAGATGGGTGTTGATTTAGGAAAAAATAGTGCTCACTACCACCCCCACCCCCCCCCCCCCCCTTATTGAGCGAAAAATCG